CGCTATTAACAATGCGTCTCTGTGTGTGGTATTGATCTCTGTCAGGGTTTGATGTTGCTGTTTTCTAATAAATTTTACAAATGAGAGCTAATGTAGGAGGTGAAGTTTACCTATAGTCTATTGCAATAAGTGTCAGCTGGAAAAATGGGGTAGGTGTTAGAAAAATGACATGATAATTTACCCAATAAATCATCACACAGGAAGGGACCATTACATTTTACAAAACCTTTTAAACAATGCTAAAATATTTGTGACTTAAAGAAGTCGATAGAGATTTTAATCAAAGGCTGCTGTACAATTGAGTTAAATTGCTGATTCAATATATCCAGAATAAATTCACCCCCAGTACTTCAAAATTTACTAGTCTCCGTCTCGTCTTCGGATTCCCAGGAGCATGTCGCTGTGTATCCTAAGAAAGCAGATCAGAGCCCCAAGGATAACAGTGAATTGAACGGGCCTAATTCCCATTTCATTAACATGGAAGTCAAGGTTCTCGTGCTCCTGCAAGTGAACCACGAATCTGCCCCATCACATTTTCACAGTTAGTTTGTGGGCATCAAGTAACACAGGTGTGTATCTGCAGTAATTTAAATGAGCAAAATAGTTTTACTACCAAACTTGCTATATGAAGTGCACAGAATTATTGGATTTTTCAATTCTAGGCCTAATTTTGCATAACCTAGTGCTGTACTAACATCAGTAGAGATACTCACAGGAGTGAGATTTTGAAGATCAGCTCTCTGGGCCCAGTGCTGAAGACGACACCTCCTTCGCTCTGTGAGCTGTGTGTTGGGAAGAATCATTTTGCTGTTTCCTTATCTTTGCTTTCACTTTGACAGGAACAAAACACTGCATTGTAAGCAAAATTTTCATTTGGGACTCAAAAGAAATCCTTTTCTTATTTTCAGTAGAGAAAACAAAACCAAAAAAAGAACCCAAGGAAAACACATATATAATTCATCAGAAATAATGCTGACTGCAAAATACTAAGTAATCTTCATGCAGTTTACACAGGATACGGGGAGATAAATGTGTTTTTCAGGAAAAGGAGGAAAAATAGGATTTTTATGTGTTGTATTTGAGGCACTCTATAATACATAGCTATATACAAAGTAACATGCCACACACCTTCCTAGGCACGGACACCACATATTGCCCCCTGTGCGTTTTAGGAGGGTGAAAGCATAGGAATGCTCTGAGGTCTCACATTGCTCAATAGCAGTATAAACCCCTCATCCACGTCCTCTAACAGATTGGAAGGGACTCGTTATTCCAAATACCAGTAGTCCAGCGAGCAAGGAATTAATGGAGCAGGGGCTTGAGCTCGTGCCTGCAGCGCCTCGCGAGCCACCTCTGAACTGCGTTTGAGAGAAGGTGCAGCCGTCCCTTGAACTTACACACATCGGGCTGAGCAACTCAGACAGATGTTTAATCACTCCATATTCACCAGGAAACGGCTATTCAGTGGCCATGGGGTTTAAAAGTGGCACTGTGAAATGGATGCTTCACCTTATTGCTACATTGGCGTCCCCTTTTAAAAGCACAAGTAAGAAGAGCTCAGCTGCATCTAATGCGTTTTTATCACATAAATCTCAATCACTGTATTTTTTGTTTTAATCATTAGACACCCTTTTAAGTTTTCAGTAGCAGAAAGGCCCAAAGCTGTAGTGCCAGTTAATGCAAATGAAAAGAGATGAAAAGGAATCCACCAGCTTCTCCAAAGGCAAGGGTTGAATGGGTAAAAGGTGACTAATCTTTGACTGAATCTGCAGCAATAATTATTAGGAAAATATTTAACTTAAAGCAACACACAAAAAAATGCACGACCCCAAAACTTTTAGCAGGTAATTCATCAGATGTCAGATTGAAAACACCTCTTCAGAAGAAAAATTGTAATAAATCTGCAGTTGTTGGTTACAGTGTACTCAATATTGTGAAACACTTTCCTGAAAGACACAATGTGGTCTTGACAAGATTAGTGTGCATTTCAGCAAAACATACACATCATTCTTCATTTGTTCTGTTTAGCAGTTTCCACGCTGTTCTTCAGAGAAAACAAAAGTAATGATTAACGGCGGAGCGGTGGG